CTGCCCAGCCGCTTCAGCCGGGAGTTTCGGGGCTCCTGCCCCCCTTTCCTGGGGCGGCGCTGGGAGTTTCTGGGGGGAGCCGAGCTTCGGCAGGGCCCCGGGAGGGGAGGAGACAGGACATAGCACTTAGCAGTGCTTTACCGACGGAATTTGCTAAAAATACGGTATCTGTAGAAGTAAATGCTGAATGCTTACCCCCCCCTTTAGAGCCCACACCTCCCCAAACCCCCCCTCTTTTTTTTTTTCTGCCCTACTGTCCTGTTCATTTAACTAACCTGCTTTTTCTTGCTGCCTTTAGAGTATACCACTGGATGATAAACCAGATCAAGTGTCTTGGACTGAAATGGGACAGGGTACCAATGAAGGAAAGCGAAGAAGAGAGCTGGAAGCAGCTTGGTTTTCTCCAAGCCCGTTGAGGCTGCTGAGCAAAGAGACCCGAGCTTTGCCTGAGATGCATTTAAAGAAAAACCAAAGACTTTCGTAAGGGACTTCTAGCGAAGCGTCCACGTGTTTTGAGTGGCACAGCTTTGCGAACAATTATCTTTTATTTATGAGACAGGAAGAAGATTCAACACTGACTGGTGGTGTTAAACACAATTTAAATTATTTGTAGTATCTATATTTGTATTTATTTTGATGAATGTCTTTCAGCAGTTATTGGTCTTAATATTGCTTTTGCATTAATATGTCCATTCCAAATAAATTACTTGAAATGTTCACTTTTTATTACTATACTCTAGGCTGCAGTAACTTTTGTTAATACGTGTTTGTGGAGTAGGTAGTGGTGTAGTGGCTTAAAAAGAGTGGGTAAGCTCAGCTTTTTGGTGCCCTGGACTGGGCGGTGGGAGGTGGAGAAAGCCAAGATTACTCTTTTGTGTTTGACCTCGTCTCCCAACAGGAGAGGGAAAGTGTATTGAGGTCCAATTCTGGTCAGCAGTGGAAACAGAAAAGTCTAGCACAACTTGGATAAGTACTGCTTTTGAAGCGCTTTCCCATATAATTGAGTAGTGGTGGCTGCAGCAGGCACAAGAGCTCCTTGTGACAATAAAACGCTGCTGTCGGCCAATGCCCCGGCCCCCGTAGCGTAGTGCTGTGCTAAGGCAGAGAACTGGATTCTTGATTTCAGAATAACACGGCGCTGACGCTACATGGGATTCCTCAGCTTAGCAACAAAACAAGCTGAGCTCCTCATTCTCTCCTCTTCCTCCAACTCTGCGTTGTCTAGATAGAGTTATTTTCTATAGGATAGACTAATTCTACAGGAGTAGTAATTTTTTACAGGATAACTGGGAAAATGGAGAAGGTGATTTCTCTGACACCACCTGGACCAAGAAGCAGCTATTTCTTTGGATAAAACTACTTTTTTTAAAGTTTTGTCTTGTGAGGCTGGCTAACTAACCTAGGCTTCCTGGAGAGCAATGCCGCAGCACATGACTCAGCTCTGGCAGGTAGGACTATGAGCTTATCAGGTAAAGTACTTGCTACTAATGCTCCAAATTTGGTAATTCATTCAGGTAATTTCCCCCTCCCGATATCAGTGCAATTACTGAAAGAGACTTTGCGCTAGAGGAAGTTGTAAAGTATGTCATTCCAAGTAGCCTGTAGTAAGAGCAAGAGAGACTCGGTACAGGGGAAAAAAATGCCAAACCAAAACCCTGGAAGGAGGTTTGGCCCCCGTTTCTGGAAGCAGCAGGGAGACTGGCACCGCAGTGAGCTACATGGTTCCTTTGCATCCTCCTCACACGCTTCTGGCAGCTCGGCTGGCGCCCGCCGGGCTTGTGCAGGGGCAGGGCTGCACATGATTGAGCTGTGGATGTAGCGAAGGCTTGGCCACAGTGTTAGAAAGCCTTTGGCCTCGATTCCTCTCTGGCAGAAGAACACCAGAGGTGCATTTTGTGGAGCAAAATGACACTCAAAAGCAGATGTGTTTTACTCTGATTTGCCTCAGTGCTATTGCGGGGGGGGGGGGGGGGTGTG